GGGACATGAGTGGGGACAATGGGGACATTGGGGACATCACTGGGGACACTGGGACAGCCCTGGGGACACAGGGGACAGCCATGGGGACATTGCAGGGATTGGGGACATCATCGGGGACAGTGAGGACATCTCTGGGGACATTGGGGACATCACTGGGGACATCGGGGACATCATTGGGGACAGTGAGGGCATCTCTGGGGACATCACTGGGGACACCCATGAGGACATTGGGGACATCACTGGCGACACGGGGACACTCCTGCGCTGGCCCTGGGGTGTCACGGGGACAGTCCCGGCCCTTTGGGGACAGCGGTGACACCCGCGTGTCCCCCCGGCCGCCATCGCGCCCCGCCCAGAACTACAGCTCCCGGCATGCTCCGCGCGGCGCCTCGCCTACACCGAGCGCGCTGATTGGCTGCGGCGTCTCGACCAATAGGCGGGCGCGTTGTTGGGCGGTTTTCGGTGGAGCGGGCCGGTGCTGAGGGAAGGAGCCAAGATGGTTCTGGAGAGCACCATGGTGTGGTGAGAGCGGCGGCCGCGGGCCCGGAGCACCCCCGGCCGCTCCCCGGAATCCTCACGGCAACCCCCGGTCACCCCCGGCCACCCTCGGTCACCCCCGGCCCGGCCCGGCCCGGCCGCGGCTTCCCCTGAGTCATGGCGGGGGGGCGGAGCGGGCCGGGCCTGAGGGGGCGCGGGGGGCTGAGGGGACAGGAGGGGACAGAGAGGGGCTGAGGGGACAGGAGGGGACAGAGAGGGGCTGAGGGGACAGAGAGGTGACAGAGAGGTGACAGAGAGGGGCTGAGGGGACAGAGAGGTGACAGAGAGGTGACAGAGAGGGGCTGAGGGGACAGAGAGGTGACAGAGAGGTGACAGAGAGGGGCTGAGGGGACAGAGAGGTGACAGAGAGGTGACAGAGAGGGGCTGAGGGGACAGAGAGGTGACAGAGAGGTGACAGAGAGGGGCTGAGGGGACAGAGAGGTGACAGAGAGGTGACAGAGAGGGGCTGAGGGGACAGAGAGGTGACAGAGAGGTGACAGAGAGGGGCTGAGGGGACAGAGAGGTGACAGAGAGGTGACAGAGAGGGGCTGAGGGGACAGAGAGGGGCTGAGGGGACAGAGAGGGACATGAGGGGACAGAGGGACATGAGGGGACACAGAGGGACATGAGGGGACACAGAGGGACATGAGGGGACAGAGGGACATGAGGGGACAGAGAGGGACATGAGGGGACAAAGGGACATGAGGGGACAGACCATCTCAGAAAAAAGGATTTTATGGAGCCATTCCCAAAAAAAAGGGATTTTATTGATCTAACCCTTCCCCATTCCCAAAAAAAGGGATTTTATGGATCCAAACCTCCCCTTTTTCCAAGAAAAGGGGATCTTATGGATCTAACCTTTCCTCATTCCCAAAAAAAGGGGGGATTTCATGGAACCATTCCCAAAAAAAGGGGGGATTTTACAAAACCATTCCCAAAAAAAGGGGGGATTTTACAAAACCATTCCCAAAAAAAGGGGGGATTTTACAAAACCATTCCCAAAAAGTGGGGGGATTTTACAAAACCATTCCCAAAAAGTGGGATTTCATGGATCCAAACCCCCAATTCCCAAGCAGAACACCCCTCATTCCCCCCTCCCCGAGCGGCCCAAAGCGCGGAATTCCCCTCAGCATTCCCTGTTTTTACGATTCCCGGGAATCGCAGCGTGGATAACAGCGAGTACATGCGGAACGGGGACTTCCTGCCCACGCGGCTGCAGGCGCAGCAGGACGCCGTCAACATCGTGTGCCACTCCAAAACACGCAGCAACCCCGAGAACAACGTGGGGCTCATCACCCTCGCCAAGTAAGGGATCCGCGGGAAGCACGGAGCCGCGGGAAAGGGTGGGAAAAAGTGGGAATGGGGGTGGGAAAAACTGGGAGTGAGGAGTTGGGAATTCACCCTCGCCAAGTAAGGGATCAGCGGGAATCACGGAGCTGCGGGAAAGGGTGGGAAAAAGTGGGAATGGGGGTGGGAAGAACTGGGAGTGAGGAGGTGGGAAATTGGGGAAAGGAGGTGGGAATTTGGGGAGAAGGAGGTGGGAAAAAGTGGGAGTGGGGGTGGGAAAAACTGGGAGTGAGGAGTTGGGAATTCAGGGAGAAGGAGGTGGGAAAAACTGGGAATGAGGGTGGGAAAAACTGGGAGTGAGGAGGTGGGAAAAAGTGGGAATGGAGGTGGGAAAAACTGGGAGTGAGGAGGTGGGAATTCACCCTCGCCAAATAAGGGATCAGCGGGAAGCACGGAGCTGCGGGAAAGGGTGGGAAAAAGTGGGAATGGGGGTGGGAAAAATTGGGAATGGGGGTGGGAAGAACTGGGAATGAGGAGGTGGGAATTTGGGAAGAAGGAGGTGGGAAAAACCTGGGAATGAGGAGTTGGGAATTCAGGGAATGGAGGTGGGAAAAACTGGGAATGAGGAGTTGGGAATTGAGGGAAAGGAGGTGGGAATTTGGAGCTGGAGTTGGAGGAGGCTGGAATGGGAGGGATTTGGTGATCGTTGGAGGTGGGGAGAGCTGGGAATTCAGGGAGTTCCCTCCCAGATTCCCAAAGAAATCCCCAGGAATTTCTCCCTAACTTAATCCCAGGGGTGGAATTCCTCCCAAATTCCTCAGGATTTGCTCCAAGGGAGGGAATTTCCCTCCCAGATTCCCAAAGAAATCCCCAGGAATTTCTCCCTAACTTAATCCCAGGGGTGGAATTCCTCCCAAATTCCTCAGGATTTGCTCCAAGGGAGGGAATTTCCCTCCCAGATTCCCAAAGAAATCCCCAGGAATTTCTCCCTAACTTAATCCCAGGGGTGGAATTCCTCCCAAATTCTCCAGGATTTGCTCCCAAACTCCTCAGGAATTGCTCCCAGGATGGGAATCCCCCCCCAGATTCCCAAAGAACCCCCCAGGAATGACCCCCGGGCCGGGAACGGCTCCAGAATCCCGGGAATTTCCTCTTTCCCGGCAGTAACTGCGAGGTGCTGACCACGCTGACGCCGGACACCGGGCGCATCCTGTCCAAGCTGCACTCGGTGCAGCCCAAGGGAAAAATCACCTTCGGCACCGGGATCCGCGTGGCACACGTGAGTTCCCGGGAATTCCCGCCCTTCCCGGGAATTCCCGCCATTCCCGAGCTTTTCCCTCCGGGTCGGGGCGGGAAATCGGCTTTGCCGGGAGTTTTTTTGGGGTGGAAACGGTGGGGGAGGTTTGGAAGGCCGGTGTGGATGTGGGGGATTGCAGCTGGAATGTGTTGGGATTCCAGGAATTCCAGCTGGAAATCCTGGATAAATCCCAGGAAATCCCATTGAAATGATGCATAAATCCCAGGAAATCCAACTGAAATCCATGGGAATCCCACATAAATCCCAGGAATTCAAACTGAAATCCATGGAAATCCAACTGAAATCCATGGGAATCCCACATAAATCCCAGGAATTCCAACTGAAATCCATGGAAATTTCAGATAAATCCCAGGAATTCCAACTGAAATCCATGGAAATCCAACTGAAGTCCATGGGAATTTCAGATAAAACCCAGGAATTCCAACTGAAATCCTGCATAAATCCATGGAATTCCAACTGAAATCCATGGAAATCCCACATAAATCCATGGAAATCCAACTGAAATCCATGGGAATTCCACATAAATCCACGGAAATCCAACTGAAATCCTGCATAAATCCATGGAATTCCAACTGAAATCCATGGAAATCCAACTGAAGTCCATGGGAATTTCAGATAAAACCCAGGAATTCCAACTGAAATCCTGCATAAATCCATGGAATTCCAACTGAAATCCATGGAAATCCCACATAAATCCATGGAAATCCAACTGAAATCCATGGAAATCCCACATAAATCCATGGAAATCCAACTGAAATCCATGGAAATCCCACATAAATCCAAGGAATTCCAACTGAAATCCATGGAAATCCCACATAAATCCATGGAAATCCAACTGAAATCCTACATAAATCCATGGAAATCCAACTGAAATCCATGGGAATTCCACATAAATCCCAGGAATTCCAGCTGAAATCCCGCATAAATCCATGGAAATCCAACTGAAATCCTGCATAAATCCATGGAATTCCAATAGAAACCTATGGAAATTCACCCTAAATCCATGGAAATTTGGTGTAAATTTAATGCAAACCCATGGAAAATTCTTCATCATCCATGGAAATTCCACAGAAATCTAGGCCAAATCCCCCACAAATCCATGGAAATGTCAGATAAATCCATGGAAATTCCACAGAACCAACCCCTAAGTGCCCCCACGGAGCCGATCCCGGGATCTGGGGGGGTTTCCTGCCCGGAATTCCCGGGAAAAGCCCTGACTGCTGGGATTTGGTGCAGCTGGCGCTGAAGCACCGGCAGGGCAAGAACCACAAGATGAGAATCATCGCCTTCGTGGGCAGCCCCGTCCTCGACAGCGACAAGGACGTGAGCGCGGGATCGGGATAACGGCGGGATCGGGATAACGGCGGGATCACGGCGGGATCGGGATAACGGCGGGATCACGGCGGGATCGGGATAACAGCGGGATCGGGATAACGGCGGGATCACGGCGGGATCACGGGATAACGGCGGGATCGGGATCACAGCGGGATCGGGATAACGGCGGGATCGGGATAACGGCGGGATCACGGCGGGATCACGGCGGGATCACAGCGGGATCGGGATAACGGCGGGA